CACAACGCCCGGCTATTTTTTGGTTGCAGCCGTCATTGTTGTTTGGCGGGTCCGGGCTGGGGATTCGAACCCGCCACCTTAGGTGTACATGGCTGGAGCCTTAGCCGGTTGAGCCACAGGCGCCGAGCTGTTATATAGCTTTTGAGAAATTTTTTATTTCTTCTTAAAGCAATACATTGGAGTAAAAAACCAGAGCCACTGAACTAGCCAAAAGTATTATTTTATTTCAACCTAATATTTATTAAATATCTCTAATTTCACTTCAAGGGTATTTCACTTAAAAGCAAGATTTCTATGCCTTTTTCAGATATCCAGCTGGCAATGAGCAACAGAAAATAGGGGAGAAATATTTTTTAAAAGTTGATTCAAAGAAAAAGAAAGAACAGTGAAAATGGTAGCAGGACTCTTAGACCTCTGCAAATTTTCCAGATGGGTGAAAAATGTAGTCTACTTCTAGCAATAGCTATCTGGAGAAACACTCCCAGCATAGAACACTTAAAATGCTGGAGGAAATACAAGAAGCATCTTTCTTTTTTAAGGCATGGCAATGTTGTCAGAAAAGAAAGAGAAATTATATAAACAAGGAGAAAGCTCTACTCCAGAAAAATTCTAACCGGAACTGGTGTTTGCCTGGTGACATCTCCCAATCCTCAGCAGCCTAACAAAGTGTATAATACAGGAGTTGTAAGTTGAGGCCTAAGGGGACAGGAAGGATTGGAGCTCCCCCCATAAACCTGAGGTCCTCCGAGGATAAACCAGAAAAGTGAGAGAACTAGAAAAATCCCACCAATAGAAAAAGACCTTGAGGATACCTATTTTCTAATCATAGGACTGTACTTACTTGGAAGTGGTGCCTTATAATAGTATGCTTCAAAAATAAAAAATCTTCAAGCCTAAAATTTAGGTGAGGTGATTCTGGGTGGATAGTACCCTCAGCTGCATGAAGGAACATGTTTATATCCAGGCCTCAATTTCCACAGATAAATTTCGAAAGTCTATGAGTTCACACACATAAAGAAAGGAAGTCTTCAAACATAGGTGATAATAAACAATTATGTGTTTGAGTCAACAAACAACACAGCAGAATCAGACCTATACAAATGGTAGCTATCAGAATTATCAAATAATTTAATAGAGAAGCAAAAGACAAAAAAGGATTAGGCAAAGTTGAAAAGAAACCACATAGGCTCGGCGCCTATAGCTCAACCGGCTAAGGCGCCAGCCACGTACACCTAAGGTGGCGGGTTCGAATCCCCAGCCCGGACCCGCCAAAACAACAATGACGGCTGCAACCAAAAAATAGCCGGGCGTTGTGGCGGGCGCCTGTGGTCCCAGCTACTTGGGAGGCGGAGGCAGGAGACTCGCTTGAGCCCAGGAGTTGGAGGTTGCTGTGAGCTGTAATGCCATGGCACTCTACCCAGGGGGACAGCTTGAGGCTCTGCCTCAAAAAAAAAAAAAAGAAAAGAAACCACATAAAACTTCTAGAAATTAAAAAGAGTTCTGGAGTGGTGGTTCATGCCTGAAATCCTAGCACTCTGAAAGCCTGAGGCAGGTAGATCCTTTGAGGTCAGGCGTTCAAGACCAGGCTGAGCAAGAGTGAGACCTCCATGTCTACTAAAAACTAGCTTAGTGTTGTGGCGGGCACCTGTAGTCCCACCTACTCAGGAGGCTGAAGCAAGAGAATCTTGAGCTCAAGAGTTTGAGGTTGCTGTGAGCTAGGGCACCATGACATTCTACCCAGGGTGCCAAGGCGGCAGAGTGAGACTCTGTCTCAAAAAAAAAAAACAAAAAACCAAATAAATAAAAATAAATAGAAATTAAAAAGAAAATGGGAAAATAATTGAAGGCCTAGAGAGTAGTTTACACACAGGACCTCCTGGGATTGTGTCTAGAGAATAGCTAGTGTTCTATGAGCTTTGGAAACAGAAGGGAAAGCAAGCCCAGCAGAGGTACCCATTCCATTCCCAGCTTGCTCAGTAGCTGGCAAATAGAAAACACTCTGTAGCTAGGAGTTGTGGCAGGCGCCTGTAGTCCCAGCTACTCGGGAGGCTGAGGCAAGAGAATCACCTAAGCCCAAGAACTGAAGGTTGCTGTGAGCTGTGATGTCACAGTACTCTACTAAGGGTGACAAAGTGAGACTCTTTCTCTAAAAAAAAAGAAAAAAAATAGAAAACACTCTGCAATAAGTGAAGAAGAAAAAGAAAGAAAGAAAAGAATAGTTTATACACAGGTGGAAAGAAAAATTTTGGCGAATCACCCAAAATACAGTAAGAAGAGAGGAAGACGGTGAAAATATGAAAGGTTAAGAGACATGGAGGAGTGAATGAGAAGAGCCTAACAGGAGTTCTAGAAGGAACAGGAGCTGCAGTATTCAGAGATTACGGCTGAGAATTCCAAAAATAGATAAAAGATGCTAATTATCAGTATGAGAGACAAAAAAATTCCCAGCCAGGATAAATAAAAATAAATACACATTTGCACACATTTTGGTGAAATTTCAGAACACCAAAGATGTTAGGGAAATGCAAATTAATGCCACAATGATACCATTATACACCAGCTAGAATGATTAAAACTAAAAAAGACTGACTGGGTGCACCGGTCCCGAACATCCTCCTGCTTCAATCATGGCTTGTGGTTTGGTCGCCAGCAACCTGAATCTCAAACCTGGGGAGTGCCTCAGAGTATGTGGCGAGGTGGCCCCTGACGCCAAGAGCTTTGTGCTGAACCTGGGCAAAGACAGCAACAACCTGTGCCTGCATTTCAACCCCCGCTTGGATGCCCATGGGGATGCCAATACTATCGTGTGCAACAGCAAGGACGGCGGGGCCTGTGGGGCTGAGCAGCGGAAGGCTGCCTTTCCCTTCCACCCTGGAAGTGCCGTGGAGGTGTGTATCAGCTTTGACCAGGCCGACCTGACGGTCAAGCTGCCAGATGGTTACACATTCAAGTTCCCAAACCGCCTCAACCTGGAGGCCATCAACTACATGGCAGCTGATGGTGACTTCAAGATCAAGTGTGTGGCCTTTGATTGAAATCAGCTGCGCCGTGACCGCCAATAAAGGCAGCTGCCTCTGCTCTTCCTGAAAAAAATAAAAATAAAATAAAAAAGACTGACTTTCTCAAGTGTTGGGAGAAAGCTAAACAACTGAAATGCTCATACATGCTGACAGAAACTATAAAGTGATACAGTTTGGCGTTTTGTTAAAAAGTTAAACACACATTTGCCATATAATCCAGTCATTACATTCTTTGGCATTTACCTAAGAGAAAAGCAAATATATGTCCATACAAAGACACACCAGTGTTTCTAGCAGCTTTATTTGTAATAGCAAAAAACTGGAAACAATCCAAAAACCATAAACAGGTGAATTGATGAATAAATTATGGATATCCATACAATATAAATTTCTCTTACAATACAGAGGAAAGAGCTATCGACACATACAAAGTGGATGCACTTCAAAATTATGTTAAAAGAAGCTAGACCAAAAAGAGTACATATTGTGTCATTCTATTTATATAAAACACTAGAATATGCAAACCAGTCTTCAGTGATGGGAAAACAGATTAGTGGTTATCTGGAGTTGGAATGGGACAGGAACAAGCAAGAGGGAGTGATTATCAAGGGAAAAGAGGAAACTTGTAGGTGATGGATATGTTTACCATTTTGATTATGGTGATGATGATGTGAGAATTTACTTTATTTACTTTTTTTTGTATACTTTAAAAATATATCAAATCATGATTCCCCCTGCAAAAGATACATATCAAATTATATAGTTAATTTTATGTCAATTATACCTCAGTAAAGATGAAAAAAGAAGAAAGTAAAAGAGAAATGGAAAAGAAAAGAAGGCTGGTGTGGTGGTTCACGCTTGTAATCCTAGCACTCTGGGATGCTGAGGCAAGTGGATTGCTTGAGCTCAGGAGTTGAGTCCAGCTTGAGCAAGAGGGAGACGCTCTCCCACCCCAATCTCTACCAAAAATAGGAAAACAAGTCTGAGCTACTTGGGAAGCTTAGGCAAGAGCATCGCCTGTGGCCAAGAGCTTGAGGTTGCTGTGAGCTATGACACCCCACTGATCTACCCAAAGTCACAGAATGAGACTCTGTCTCAAAAAAAAAAAAAGTCAGACAAACAAACTACAACTATCTCCCCTAAACTTGCCATACTCAGGGAAATAGTAAATTGTAGCCAAGGGTGAATTTCTTTATAAAATATTCATTACAAAATTTTACAAAATATTTATAAAATATTCTCTACATGTTGGCCACTTCTTTGTAAAATTCTGTATGTAATGAATAGTTTGTAAACAAGGGTACCCTTACCTACAATTTCCCATTTCCTTGTGTATGACGATTTTAAGGGTGACCTTTGGGACACACTGTATATATAAGGATCAGATCCCTACCCTTCTCCATCCTGCATTTTCCTAGGGAGCTGACCTGTGTGGACCATACCAGTGAAGTCCCTGCCTTCTGGCTCCTCACTGGGCTCAGCCAGTGCAGATCTCTGTCTCGCCTACAAGTCCCCGGAGCTGGCTATGTCCCTTGATCACAAGTCATTACTTCTCTAATTGGCCCACTCTACAGAAATTTCCTTCTGGATTCCAGAAACCACTCTGTCTCTCTTCATCCCTTCAGGCCTAGGGGTGTTAATAATTCTGCATTATTAGTTCTGGATTACCACATTATCCCTTGTGGGCCCCTCATATCTTGTCCAAACTTTAATAAATAGTCCCTTCATAAAAGCCTCCTTCAATTATGCTAATTTCAGTGTGCCATCTGTCTTCTATTTGAACCCAGACTGATATAGTAATTGTGGAATCAGGAAATAGTCCCTCAAAATGGGATTCTGGAGTTCAGTTGCTCATATATTTGAGGAGCACGGTGATAACCTTGCTGGGGAAGAATCAGGAAACGAGTTTTCTACAGCATGTGGTGGCATCATCATTACTCAAATTATCAATGAAGGGAGCATGTGATGAAATGCAGTGAAGGGCAAAGCGTTAAGAGATCAGGTGGCTCTGGCACTTAATTGCCATGGCAATAGCAGTGATTAAAGAATAGCTGAACCTTAAATTTAAGACATGAAACTATAAAAACATTAGAAGAAAGTGTAGGGAAAACTCTTGAAGAAATAGGCCTGGGCAAAAATTTTATGAGGAGGACCCCCTGGGCAATTGAAGCAACATCAAAAATATACTACTGAGACCTCCTCAAATTAAAAAGCTTCTGCACAGCCAAGAACACAGTAAGAAAAGTAAGTAGACAACCCTCTGAATGGGAAAAGATATTTGCTGGTTATGCTTCTGACAAAGGTCTTATAACCAGAATCCACAGAAAACTCAAGCGTAGTACCAAGAAGAAAACAAGTGATCCCATCGCAGGGTGGGCAAGAGACTTAAAGAGAAACTTCTCTGAAGAAGACAGACGCATGGCCTACAGACATATGAAAAAATGCTCACCATCCTTAATCATCAGAGAAATGCAAATCAAAACCACTCTGAGATATCATCTAATGCCAGTTAGATTAGCCCATATCACAAAATCACAAAATCACAGATGCTGGCAGGTTTGTGGAGAAAAGGGAGCACTACTACACTGCTGGTGGGAATGCAAACTAATATGTCCCTTTTGGAAAACCATATGGAGAATACTCAGAGATCTAAATATAGATCTACCATTTGATCCTGTAATTCCTCTGTTAGGTATATATCGAGAAGACCATAAATCACGCTATAATACAGATATCTGTACCAGAATGTTCATTGCAGCCCAATTCACAATCACTAGGTCATGGAAGAAGCCCAAGTGCCCATCGACCCATGAATGGATCCATAAATTGTATATGTACACCATGGAATACTACACAGCCACAAAGAAAGATGGAGACTTTGCCTCCTTCATGTTTACATGGATGGAGCTGGAAAATGTCCTCTTTAGCAAAGTATCTCAAGAATGGAAGAAAAAGTATCCAATGTACTCAACACTATTATGAAACTAATTGTTAGCTATCTTAGGAAAGCTACAATCCAAATGGAGCCCTAGACTACGGGGAAAGGGGAGGGAGGGAGGGGAGGGAGGAGGATGGGTGAAGAGAATGATATTGTGGGGATCACGCCTATAATTTATCCTATTAGGGTACATGTGAATTTGTCTAAAGGTTGAAAATAAATGTCTTAACATAACAATTATGAGAAAGACATGATGGCTATGTTAGCCAGTTGGATGAGAGTCTTCCAAACTGCATATGGAAGCAGCACACTGTATCCTATGATAGAATTAATGTACACAATTATGATCTAATAAAAAAAAGAAAAAAAAAAGAACAGCTGAACCATTCTTTTTACCATCCTAAAAGTTTAGATGGGCAGGGGCACTCAGTAGAGTGCCGTGGTGTCACAGCTCACAGCAATCTCCAACTCCTGGGCTTAGGCAATTCTCTTGCCTCCGCCTCCCAAGTAGCTAGGACTACAGGCATCTGCCACAACGCCCACCTATTTTTTTGTTGCAGTTTGGCTGGGGCTGGGTTTGAACCCACCACCCTTGATACATGGGGGTGACACCTTACCCACTGAGCCACAGATGCCGCCCAATTTTTCTACTTTTTGTAGAGATGGAATCCTGCCTTTGCTCAGGCTGGTCTCAAATTCCTAGCCTCAAGTGAGGCTTAGCCTCCCAAAGTGCTGGGTTTACAGACGTGGGCCACTGCACCCAGCCTCTTATCTTTTATCTGGGTGAAAACCTCATGTCCTCATCAAAGAGGATGCACAAAGTATCACTGGTTACCATTGTATTGGGAGGTGATCTCAATCTGGCATAATCCTTCCTGAAACCTAAAGAATTATTCCACTGGTGTTCTTCAAATAAAGAATTGGGTTAAAATGAGGAGAGGTGTGGTACTCAGAATTTGGAAATTATGTCCCCAAATTCCTACCCTCTGGAGAACACACACCTTCTCTCAGTTATTCAATCAAATACTGATCAAGGTGGCCTTCCTCCAACC